CTCTTTTTATTCGCGACCAAAAAATTTCGTATTCGCGGTCAAAATTTTAATTCTATCATGATTCTACTATACATATACAAAAACTGAACTTAAAACATTTAAGTGAAGGAATAAGACTTTCAAATGATCTTTGTGAATTCTTCATGAAGATTGATCCCTCAATGGAGAGAGGTCTGATTTTTAAAAGAAAGATAAAAGAAACAATGGCCGAATATAAACTTGAGTTCAGGAGCCTGTGCCACAAAAAAAGAAAAAATTATCAAGTTTTCTAAACCAATTTCTTATCAAGTGTCTAATAATATTTAAGTAATTTATTGCTATTTTAATATGGATCTCAGAAAATATTATGCAATCATATTAAATATTAGTTATGTGTTTGATCGTTAATTTAAAATAAAACCAACTTTTTTAACACATAACATTTCTCTTAATTTTTAATTTTCTTGGAACGCATCCTCTATACTTTTATACATTTTATCGTCCCATATTCGCGTTCCCCATATTCGTGGCATTTTGGCGGAGGTTATCTCCCGCGAATAAGGAGATTTGACTATATTATTATTCCCATCAACACCTATCCGTATTAAAAAAAAAATCTGCGTTATTTTTAAAGCGCCGACCCTTGATTATGCAATTATCTCTTGTTCACATTCGACAAGTTTCAAGAAGCTGTAAAGTTTTAAGGAGAATAAGATCGACGAGAATAGGAGGACGATCACAATAACGCATCATGTGACCAGTTCCGATAAAACAGCTGTATTTTCTGCCCAATAACCATGCGCGATATTCTACTAGCTCTCAGGAGACTCCTAAAGCTTCCCTCTCTTTCTCCATATATCTTTCTTTTTCCCTCTCTCTTTTTCTCTCTTCATCTCTCACTCAAAGAGCTCTTAGTGCGATTCAACGAGCGTGGAAGCAAAATAGCCGTCGCACGATAGGTACTCTTCAAAGCGATGAAATGACCAGTAGGGTAATAACAATCGGAAAATATAGCGAGCACGGCTCGTTGGTCCCGCGACTCTGATAACCCGGCAATAATTCTTCTTCTCCTATCTCTCTCTCTCTCTCTCTTTTTCCCCTTCTCCTCTATCTCGATACTCGCTCGATCGCTTCGCGGACACGCTCTCTCCAGGGATTTCCGGAAGAATTCTCGGAAAATCTTGTACGTCCTTATGTGCCCGGATAAAAAGAGCGCACAGAGAGACACCGACGCGAAAGGGAGGAGAGGTCGAGGTCCGAGAGATAGAAATCCGATTTTCCGTGGACAGATATAATCCGGCTGGTTCGCTGCTGCTTCGCAAACGGTCCGAGCGGGCTTCTCGAGCCTCGCATTCCGGTAGAAAACGCGCTTGGGACGAGCGTTTGGTTGCCCGAAGAGGAGGAGACGGATCGATCGATCGTTTTTGAACGTCAGGCTGGATAATGCGATTACAAATTACGAGCCGTTTAAGAGCGTCAGCGGCAAAACTGACCAATCAGCGAGCCATTGTGCCCAATTCGTTCGCGCCTCCGTTGAATGGCAGCCTGTGATTCTCTCCCGGACCTTCGGCGAAAGGTCCTCGGCGGCAATTTAAAATCGAACGTCTGCTCGCGCTTTTCGCGCGATATTTTTCAATCTCGTCGCGGCGCCGGCAGTTTGATTGTTCGCGGAGAGAGCGCGACCTCCTTTTCCCTTCCGCGAACAAGGGAGAGAGAGAGAGAGAGAGAGAGCGTTTTTGTGTTTACTCGCGCGACATCCCGTCACATATAATTCCGGACGCGTCATTCTCACGTTCAACCGCACAAGTTTCGACCATCATTTTGGAGGAGACGGCCTTCTCTCCCCATGGCACGATTCAACGAGAAAGGATCTACCTTTCGCGAAAATGAAAAACGTATCTCTCTTTTTCTCTCTCCATTTTCCTTTCCACCGTTATCCACTTAACGAGTTTTGTTTTATCCACACATCCACTATCTCGCGCTTGAAATGTCCTACGGTCCTGTGGGAGTGGTTGACTTACTTCGAGCCAATATCGATCACACAGATACATGTCAGTTCATGTTTGTCATATTAATAGTTTCTTCAATCATCAATACAATTGACATTTTTACCTATTTTTATAGCGTTGGCTTCATTGAACATCTAAGATAGTTTACATTAGACAGATCTGTCTATAATAATTACAAAATAAGAAAAGGATACAGATATAGTTATTATAGGAATTTATTGATCAAAACAATTGTTAGCTAGCATATTTTCCGATCATTTTTCGAGGCTGATACAATCAAAGTTCTCCTTTCGACACCAACATCAATTTGCGTTTCGAACCGGTGGGACTAATTTCGCGTACGTGTCCGATTAGATATCTGGTCCTTCGTGTCCAACCTTCGTCGTCGCGACGGATACCATGATCGAACGTGCAATGTACGTATGTATGTATGTGCAACCATCCTCAACTGGCCGGTTTGCCGACGCTAACGAGACTTCCTACGTCCCGAGAGACACATTGCGTAGCCTCGTACGTGATTCACTTCGAAGCGTCTGTTTAATCGGAGAGCAGTCACGCGACATAACTAAGGGTCGCTGTTGAATGAGAATGCTTCCGCTCTTTGGCTGCGGCCATCGGACGAGATCCGCCGATATTTAACATCAGATTCCCGATATGCTTTCCCTCGTCGCGGTCTCTATATAAATTATATTGTTTTTTGCTGTCTGTCGTGAATTTATAATATTGACATTGCTGAGTTTTTGAGATGATACAAGTTTATTAATGAAACTATAATTTCAGAATTTATACTCAAGTACTTAATATATTATACAAATATAATGTATGCACTTAATACTTAAGTGTGTATAATATATTTGTTTCCCATTTTTATATTTTTACAATAAAAAATGACTTGCACGCAACACAAGATAACAAACAAAATTACACACTGTATAACAATTATATATAGATTTTAGTCGTAAGTTGGAAATAGGATTATTAACCGTCTGCGAAATATCTTCCTTTACTCAGAAATATTGATCAAACTGATTTAGTTTTATGGTCAGAGCAGTGCAAACCTAGTCTGCATTCCTCGACTATAAAAATATGAAACAGAAAGATGGTTTCTCTGAAACAACATTTCAACTATCTTCAGATACCAATATCAATAACTTGTAATAGAGAAAGATACTTGTACTTTAATGGATTTGAATGCATCGCCATTTGGAACAGGCGAGGCGACAGTATCTGTTCAAGAAAATTTAGATAAATGGGATTTTGAGATTCTTGGTAGCATTGTTACATGACAAGACGCTAGTTTAATAGACGTTTTTCATACTTTGGTCAAAGTATGCATTTTGAAATCGGATATTATTACATTAAAAATTAAATTTTCTTTAAGCAAATAAATACATTTTGTTAATATTGAGTTTTTTACTTAAATAAATATATACTTTGTTTCCAAGAATGTTATATTATATTAAATAAATTATTATTTACATGTAATAAAAATTATAAATTTTAAAATCAATTATTTAAAATTTTAATATAAAAGAATTTTTATTTGAAGATAAAAAATTATTTATTAAAATAAAAAAATCTGTGTTTTTGAAACAAGCAGCCAAAAATTAAAAAATGTTTTTTCAATGATAGTATTTTAGTATAATAAGAATAAAAAATAAATTCTTTTTTTTTATTTGCAAATAAAAGCATAAAAATAATTTTATTTGAATTTAGTGTATGTAAGATTTTATTAAATTGTTTTTATAAAAAAATTTTATTTGGATTTAGTGTATTTTTTCAATGTAATAATAATAAACACATTAAAATGTAACAGGATGCAAAAATATTTTATAAGTATTTATGATTCAATCGGCGCGATAAAAACTTGGAATTGTACAAAAGTATTTCTTTATTGAATCTCACCACAAAAATCTTGATAGATTTATAATTTACAAAAGAGATCTTCCAATTTTATGCTATATTTATGTGAGAAAAAAGGTTTTATACGTATATATTGAATCGAAAAGTATCTCCGTGTCAAGGAATAGCGGTATCAGAGGTTAATGTACACGAGGCGGAAAATATCAATAGTATCGGAAGAAACGTCGAGTTCACACGAATGGATATTAAAGCAGAATTGATGGCGGAACGTGGAGCTAACTATGTAGATTTTCCAAATATCCATGTCCGATGCTCATTCCCTATTCTACTCTGTAACGGTCAGGTGTACATAGTCGGCCACACGCCGCCGGGAGTGGACGACCATGAAATCGGCGCCGCGACCCTTCACGAGAGGCATAACATCAAGTATCTTCAGATAGTGCGACTCTATTCGGACATCATCCGAGGACAGTTCTTTGGCCATTGGCATTCGGACACGTTCCGCGTAATTTACAACGACATGGGTAAAATATGGAATAAAAATCTACATCTAAAATAAACGTACCAGTTTCCAAATAAGATCGTTTCCCCAACAAAAATATGCAATTTTTATTGACATTAAGATTCTTTTAAAAAGATCTGCATCTTAAAAAATACCAATTAAAATAAAGCTGAATATTTAGATTTTGACAAGAAGAATATTTTGCGCGTGAAATATTAATCACGTGTCAAAAAATTGAAGATAAAAAATTATTTATTAAAATAAAAAAATCTGTGTTTTTGAAACAAGCAGCCAAAAATTAAAAAATGTTTTTTCAATGATAGTATTTTAGTATAATAAGAATAAAAAATAAATTCTTTTTTTTTATTTGCAAATAAAAGCATAAAAATAATTTTATTTGAATTTAGTGTATGTAAGATTTTATTAAATTGTTTTTATAAAAAAATTTTATTTGGATTTAGTGTATTTTTTCAATGTAATAATAATAAACACATTAAAATGTAACAGGATGCAAAAATATTTTATAAGTATTTATGATTCAATCGGCGCGATAAAAACTTGGAATTGTACAAGAGTATTTCTTTATTGAATCTCACCACAAAAATCTTGATAGATTTATAATTTACAAAAGAGATCTTCCAATTTTATGCTATATTTATGTGAGAAAAAAGGTTTTATACGTATATATTGAATCGAAAAGTATCTCCGTGTCAAGGAATAGCGGTATCAGAGGTTAATGTACACGAGGCGGAAAATATCAATAGTATCGGAAGAAACGTCGAGTTCACACGAATGGATATTAAAGCAGAATTGATGGCGGAACGTGGAGCTAACTATGTAGATTTTCCAAATATCCATGTCCGATGCTCATTCCCTATTCTACTCTGTAACGGTCAGGTGTACATAGTCGGCCACACGCCGCCGGGAGTGGACGACCATGAAATCGGCGCCGCGACCCTTCACGAGAGGCATAACATCAAGTATCTTCAGATAGTGCGACTCTATTCGGACATCATCCGAGGACAGTTCTTTGGCCATTGGCATTCGGACACGTTCCGCGTAATTTACAACGACATGGGTAAAATATGGAATAAAAATCTACATCTAAAATAAACGTACCAGTTTCCAAATAAGATCGTTTCCCCAACAAAAATATGCAATTTTTATTGACATTAAGATTCTTTTAAAAAGATCTGCATCTTAAAAAATACCAATTAAAATAAAGCTGAATATTTAGATTTTGACAAGAAGAATATTTTGCGCGTGAAAATAAAAACTGTAAAAAAAAAAAAAAAAAAAAAAAAAACTTTCCAAAAGAATTTATAGACAGAAAAGTTTTTTCAGAAAATGCGATTATTTTATTTCCGAGTCAAATAAATGTGATTTAATCCATCAATTATTTCAATTTTTTATCGTTGATTCTCGCATCCTGCGCATTGCTATCGCTTTATCAGCTGTCGTTTTGATCTCAAATGTTATTAATATTCACAGCGCGATTAATTATTCTGCAAAACGATACTGTACAGGTCAGCCCGTATCCTGGATAATGATGGCTCCCAGTGTAACTCCGAGCGCCGTCGGAGGGCCCAACAACCCGGGCTTGCGATTGTACAAGTTTGAAACTAACACCGGACAGGTACGTGGCGGTAGGAAAGACGCGCGTACATATATGATACATTCTCGATAATAATATCTCCGCCGTTTCTGTAACGGTCTATTTGCGAGACGTGTCGATTTCAAAGGGATGCAGAAATGTAGAATAAAGTTTATATATGTATAATATACATATATATGTGTGTGTCTGTGTTATATGCGGCGCAGATTCTGGATTACACGCAGTACTATCTTAATCTGCCCGAGGCAAATTCAAATGGCAAAGCAAACTGGATGAGCGAGTACTCGTTGCTCGAATATTATGACCTGCAGGAGATATCGGCCATCACTCTTCACGATCTGGCGGATCGATTTACGCAATCCAACGATAACGCTTTCGTTAGGTACGTGGCGCGCGATGAGACGGATTGATTTGACTTTGATCTGGGCTCGCGTAACGTATTTTTAAAACCGATATTATATATCCCACATTCCTGATTACTGGTCCCGATTATGCCTTAAGGATGCACTGGTGCTAACATTCTGACATTGACAATATCCTGAAAATTTAATAGATTGTTTCTATTTATTATCTGGACATGTGTGTAAAACCTGAAGACGATTCCCTAACCGGTTCACGAGTTATCCAATTTTTAATTTTGCATAAGTTCTTATGGAGTAGCAGCATATTTCCACTTATATAAACGAGATTATAAGGAAGCATCATAGAGTGTCTATCCAAAGCTTGTAAAAAAATTCCCTGATTTTTCAGGTAGTTTGTTCAAAATTCCAGATAAAATTAGAGAATTTTTAGATGGAATTTTTTTTAAATAAGTTTTTCTTTGTGTGCGTATTCTAATGCTTTTCACGCATATAAAGGAAAAATAAACCACCTAAATTTTAAATATTAAATTTAAAAATGTACTGAAAAGAAATGAATGATTTTTGTAAGATAAACATTTTTTATTTGCATAATATTTTTATTTTTTATCATTAATTAAGAATTACAATAAAAAAATGTGTACTCAGTATTTTTTACTATGACAATGAACATATAATCAAAGAGAGAAAAATATATATTTATAATATATTTGAAACATATAATTCACAATCATTGGCCAATCAGATCGCCGATGCTTGCAATATAAGAACAAAATGATCAGAGAGAATTTTTGAAAAAATTCCCTGTGTACGAATAAAATTCCATGAGAATTCCTTGATTCTTCAAGGTAAAAACAAAATCCCTGAGAATTCCTGGTTTTCTAGGTTTTTCCAGGAAATAGACACCCTGCACTATTGCCAATATTCTGAAATTTTGTGAGTAAATAAAATACTGAACAATTTTCTAAAAAAAGTTGATATCGATTCACTAACTTGTTATCAAGTTATTAATGAAAAAAAATGCAAAATTCCGAAAATGACAATATTAAAATAAATTAAATATTTTTAATATACTCAACGTTTTTTCGTTTCTTACAGTTGGTTTCAGGTGAACTTCACGTCCAAAAGTTTTTTTAGTCAAATTAACAATTTTTTTTTTTTCAGTGTACAAATATATTCATTTGTAGTGCCAAAATCATATTAACTGACATTATTTAAATCCTTTACACGATACGAGTACATATGGTACATATCTTAATCTACAAAAGCATAGTTTTTCATCAATTTCAAATTGAAATAACCTTTGTCTGGGATTGTATAGCCAGTACATCCTTAAGTCACGTGTTTCATGTGTCGCTGACACTTCTTTTCTTTCTCTCCGGATTATTAATAAAATCCAATAAAAACGGATAACGCTTGTCTAAAAGTATTATTCATATCGCTTTGCTAATCGCGATCTTGAATCAACCAGGCGTGTTTGTGTGTCTTGCGCGATCGCTTATATTATTACTGTTAGATAGTAATTTCGTTTAATTTCCGGCCGCGGTAGAAAAACCTTTCCGGCGGGTGTTCCCTACGCTAATACAGTGGCGCGTGATATCGACGCGAGATTAATATTTTAATTCCCGGCGTACACGTTACTCTCGCGATAATATTCGGGCCCTATCCGTGCGACATTGTGATAACCGTCCTATCCTTTTCAAGACTGACGCGCACCATTACGATGCTAATGACAGTCCTGGATAGTTTTGCGACCAGTCGACCTAATGCACAAGCTCTGTCTCGCGGTATACATGTATACATTATCTTTCCTCGCGCAACGCCTCGCGGTATGTTTGTACGACGCATCACGCGCATGTGTATGTGTGTATTTGTATGTTCTCTCTGTCCTGCAGGTATTACGGGGCCAACACGGTCACGCTGCCGCGCGAGGTGGAGCAAATCTGGGGCTGCGGCGGTCCTCTCAACGGAGTCTGTGCGCTGCATCATTACTGCACCGTGACCAGGCTCAATCCCAACTCTTACAAGTACGTCTTTACAAGTACGCCACGCCTTGTAACTCGATTCGCGTTACGGTAACTACGGCAAATTTTTCATTTCGATACACCCGATGCGTAGAGCGATCGCGCTTCTTTGCGCGACTCGTTTCGTGACGTCAAAGATTCGTGATATCGGTAAACTTGTTTCATGAAAGAGATGCAGAGCTTCTGTGAAGAAAATTGAGTTCTATGTAATTTTCCTCAGTAAGCGTTTCATATTCAAAGGATATTAATCACTAATGTTGACTTTTCTTTTCATTTGATATGCAATCTTGTTTAATTTTAATAATCACGGATAAATTTAATATTGGTAATGAGTTCTCTCACGAACCGTTACCACAAAAATTTTTAATTCGATCGCTTTTGTGTCTCTCTCTCTCTCTCTTTCTTTCTCTCTCTCTCTGTTCCGTCGAAAACGCAAGTAGGGGTTCATCAACCACTTGGATAACGCACACCCTCACGAACTTGGAATCTATCGAGAATTTGTCGTTAATTGGTTGCGTATACGTGAAGCGAATACCAATTAGATCAAAGTACATTGCGCGCATTGCACCGTTCATGTAATAATACTGTTACGAAATGGAAGCAAGGAAGATGTGGAAAATTTTAGCGATGAGAGTGATTTGCTTACGGAAGTCGTATGCTTTGAAATTTCTTTATTTCGTAGATTATTAATGTAATACAATCGATATAATATTTTATATAATATAACCGTGTAATTTTAGAATTAACTAAAGAATACTTTAGCTGTCTCTTATATAAATTAATTACATAGCTTAAACAAGCACTTTTTAAATAATTGCTAGTCTAACGAGAACTGATAACTGATGAATTCAGGAAATTTTTTCAAAAATTCTCTCTTTGATTATTTTGTTCTTATATTGCAAGCATCGGCGAACTGATTGGCCAATAATTGTGAATTATATGTTTCAAATATATTCTTACAATTAATGATAGAAAATGAAAATATTATGTAAATGAAAAATACTTATCTTACAAAAGTCATTCAGTTCTTTTTAGTACATTTTTAAATTTCATATTTAAAATTTAAATGGTCTATTTTTCCTTTGTATGAGTGAAAAGCGTTAGAATACGCACACAAAAAAGAAACTTATTTTAATAAGTTTCATCTTAAAATTCTTCAAGGAATTTTTTTACAAGTTTTGGATACACACCCTGTATTAGTTCAAATTATATAACAATTTTTTACATACGCTTATTAACAATTAACACGATTTCTCGGAATACTGCTTAAAGTCTGACATATTAAAAACGAGTAAAGATGAAGGTTAAATCTTAAAAGACTTGTCTCGACCGTTTAAAATTGTAAAGTGAATCAAGTCAGTAACAGACTAGATAAATGTCGGCGCGAAGATAGATAAACGGAAAGACGGATAGAGAGGGATTACTGCACTTTTCAATATTCAAAAAGACGGCGGGACGTCTTCTTCGTAAATTAAGCACCGTAAAAGCCCTCGTAGTTTGAAAGCGTCATGTAATCTCGCAGAGTCTTGGAAGAGCCTCAAAGATTTTAGAGAATTCTCAGCTGAGAGTCTGGTTTAGCGCGTTGATGCTTCGAAGTTGCGAGCAATTTCGTATTAGCGAGACGTGGTTGTAACTCCTCGTGACTGACCGCTTGCAAAAATAATGTTGTAGAAACGTACAAATGCCGCGTAGATAGATTTTTAAACAACTTTGCGCAAATTCTCCGTTCGCGCAAAAGCGAGGCAAATGCATTATGCATCGGATAAAATGCTGCGACCAAGAAAATATGTGTTATCGACGGAATAAAGAAATATTCTTTTTTTTTTTTTTTTCTCTCAATCGACACATCGCGCGAGAAGATAACAAGAACGCAATATCGAGATTGGCATCCGGCCCCGAGTTACCTAGTCAGTTTGTCCCGAAACTTCCCGAGGTCGGCGGGAAGCTTCGGAGACTTGCGACAAGATTCGACGACAAGCCGAAACTTGGATCCCGTCTGTTATAGCTGTACATAAACGCGTACGCTTCCAAAGCACACAAAACGATCATCGCGTCTGTGAAACTATCTTCTCTTCGCGATCGTTACTTTGGTGGTTCGAGCCGACAAGCCAAATGGCATTTTTTTTTTTTTTACGTGAAATAGGGTGTCTACTCTCTGAAAAAACATGGAAAACCTGGAATTTTCAGAGAATTTTTTTTAATCTGGAAAAATCAAGGAATTTTCATGGAATTTTGTTGAGACTCAGGAAATTTTTAAAAAAATTCTCTGATAATTTTGCTCTTATACTGTAAGCAGTGGATAATCCGCCAATAAGCCATGTTGTGAATTATGTATTTAAAATATATTATAAATATACACACATCTATTTCTGTTTATATATTCAATGTCTTAACAAAATATTAAATATGCAATACATATTTTTTATTTTAATTTTTAGTGATAAAAAGTAAAAATGTTATGCAAGTTAAAAAATTTTATTTTAACGAAAGCTATTCAATTTTATTTTCAGTACATTTGTAAATCTAGAATTTGAAACTTAAATGGCTTTGTGTTTTTCTTTCGTATGAATGAAAAGCATCAGAAAAAGCATAAAATAAAAAAACTT